CCAAACAATTTCTGTGTCAAATATATAAAATATACACTAATGAAGGTTTTACACTCCCGTTACATATAGGTCAAAGACATATTACCATATTAGGAAGTCCAGATGGAGAATCTTCTGATGATAGCCTTGTGGATCTGGTAAGTATTGAAAGCTGTTCAGTTGCAGAATTGCCAAAACACTGCTTTTAACATGAGCTATTTTTTTAAGGAGAAAGCCTGTTTCTGCTTGAGAAAGAAACATTTTACAAAATAGGCTTTTTCTAGAGAGTTCCTTTTTTTCCCCACAGAGAGATAATCTTTGAGTTTAAAGAGAGCACACAGGAAATTTGCCAAAGCATGGAGTATATTCAAAAGTGTGTATGATCTATTTGGTTGCCTTAGTTTATAAAAAAATGTGAGTTACTTAAAACATTTCTGAGTAGTAATAATATTTTAGGCAAAAATTCTTAATGCTAATATATTTAGTCTTTTTGTATTAAAGCTACATTTGCAAATAAAATTTCATTTCATATGCCAGTGAAAATTATTGTTTACATCCAACAAATCTTTCATTAAGAGATTTTATTTCTACTTAGAGGAGGGTTTTTATCTGTAGAAAGGTAAGAGTGTTAAATTAGAAGTAGGATACCATGTTTAATAATTAAGAATGACTCCACTTCCCAAACCGTGTAGTTTTAAAATATGCACTTTCTCGTTTAAGGCTGTTGGACTGGGTGCCAGGTTTATCAAGTTGGGAGGTCTTTCCCGTGGAGAAAGGGTGACCAAATACAACCGCCTTCTTGCTATAGAGGAAGAACTGGCCAAGAATAGAACGCTACGTATGAGCTTCTTTCTTACTTTGTTTTCAGCTTGCAATGAATACGAGAACAAAGATTGGAAGGAGAATGATTGAAACTGCACCACAGGAGGGAGGCGAAATCAAAAGACTATAAATAAGCCCTGACAAAAAAAACCTAGGACAGCACTTGCCACAATGTATATTGTTGTCCTAATGGATTATCTGTTTACTGAATGTTAAAATAGACCCCTCCTTGAGGAGTAGCCTACATTAAGCTTTTTTCCAGAATTAATTGGTTGGAGTCTTGAAGCCCACAGTGCAAAAGGAACAAAACAAAAACCATGCATGCAACACGCCGAAAAGCTGCCAAAACGGAATTTTAGGCCAAATACCCCACCTCCCTCGAGCCCCTAAACATATATGGTTAACAAAACTTCATTTCACAGCCCTCTTTTGTCTGTTACATTTCCAGCAAAATGTGTTTGGAAAGCTACAATTGCATGGGTAAGCACTAAATAAAACCCAAGAAAACCCGAAGTTGAGGATGCATATTCAGCCTTAGCCACTTGTATGCATCTGCCTGCATTTCAGGATCTGCATCTTCTTTTTACACTGTTAAATGCTTAACAGTTCATTAGAGCCACTTCTCACTTACCCAGGTATCAATCAAGACAGAATAAAAGCATACAGTCTGAAGGGGAGGCAGAGAGACAAGGAGCGGAAGAAAGGAAGGAAAGGGTTTGCAATAATTTATTATGCCCAAGAAAAAGAAACATGAAGGAGAATTAAGTCATTTTACTCTCTTGTTTCTAATTATTTTCAATGTTCTATACATAGGATAGCAGCACTTGACATGCACACTATAGAACAAAGTTTTTAGTTAAAAAAATCTTTCATTGAAAATATTTTGAGTTTTCAAAATCTCCTCCTTGCTCATGTATAATCATTGTAAAAAATAGAAACACAGACAGAAATTCTTTTTTGCTAAGAGTTTTACAGAATGCACTTTTCAAAAACAAGCCAGATATAATTATACAACTATGAATTTTAACTGCCTCAGCAGTATTAATGTATTCCCTATTCAAATGGTATAGTCTAAACAAAGGAGCTTGAGTTTGACAAATATTTAGACCTATATCTCATAAAATGAAACGGCAACAATTCCTGATGCCGTTAATCGTTTGGCAGAAACAAAATCCAATAACTAAATCAACAGCAGGGAAATATTGAGATGGCATGTCTGAGCTGCATACCAAACTCCTCATTTGGCTGGGCTGCGGGCTGCGGAATCCACGGGAGAGCTGGGCAGTGGAGCTGGGAGCTCTGGAAGTGGCTCCTAGGTGGGAGGTGGCACTGACCCCAGGAGTGATGGAATGGGGCCTGCAGCCGGGCCCAGGAGCACCCTGACAACAGGCACCCTTGGCTCTCCTGCTGCCTTGCCCCCTCACCCCACCGGTAATTTGGAGTGCACAGAAGTCTTGGCCTAAGTGCAGCCCCAACGCCGATGCGGATTCACCTGTGTGAACGGCTTGCAAGCTGAATCACACCTTTACTAACAAGTAACACATAGCTGAGGCATATTCAGTGACAGGGTGGGCATTGCGTGTGTGGCAAAACAGGGAGTTAGGTGGTGAGGTTAGGGAGGAAGGAGCATTACAGAATTGGGAAAAATAGCAGTGGGAAGAGAAGCGAAGTGTTGGTTACAGGAGGAGCATCTGAACGTGGGCTTACATCACGTTGTTAAAGGCTGGGGTAGAGAAGAGACACAGTCAGCTGATGGGAACTTTTGGAAGAGCACCGGTGCAGAGGAAGGTGGGTGTTCAAAAAAAGGGCAGCAAGGTGAGACGATTAGTGAGGAAGGGAGTGCAATAAATATCCCAGCTCGGGCTGCTGTGCACCATGCCCGAATCCTGGAATCAAAGTGCAGGTTTATCGCTCCTTTGTTTCAAAGGACCAGACTTTTAAAGGTGTTTAGCAACTCTTGTAGGCATCCTGTGGCATTTTTAAAAAATCTGAGTGCCCCAGAGAACATTACAAGAAACCTGATTACAGCAAACATGAGTTTCTTTTTTCTCTTCTATTTCAGGTGAAGCAAATCTTGAATTTATTGCTTTTGCTGAAGAATCACAGCCAGAAAATCAACTTTCTGGTGTACTTCATCCCCCAAAGCAGGATTTGTTGCCTCCACAGCTCTCGCAGCCAGCCCTGCAGGTTCACAGCCTGCCTGCTCGGCTCCCAGAGAACAGCACGCTGACCTAGCTTGTCAACATGAACTTTTGGATAAATTTATATGTATATAAAAAAAAAATTCGAGCAAGAAACTCGTATATTAACTATTCCTTAATCCATTTATTTTCGAGCACTTTAGTCAAGCACTTTTAAAAGCATTCAGATACTAGCTTCTCTTTTCGCAGGAGACCATTGCTTCCAGCTGAAACCAAGTTAACTGAGCAGTGGCTGTAGTTTGAAAATACCACAAAATTCTGTGCTGTATTTACAAATTGAGAAAACAAATACCTCTGTGTAAGTCCAAAACTAAATGTTTGTTTTGGGAAAGTCAAAATCTCTCTCCATACAATGAGCAAGCTATTGACAAACAGTAAAAAAAAAAAAAAAAACAAAACCACATTTTACAAAAAACAAAGGCCTTGACTGTTATGCTGCTCCATCCCCCCACGCACCCTCAATGCTGCTCTTAGATCTAGCCTACAAGGGAAATTTTGCTCCAGTTGTAGCTATCAATACAAGTGCATCAGCGCAAACCCCAAATGTAGGGCACAAAGCTGTAATTGGCATCACTAGGAAGCTTGCTTCAGTCGGAGGCAGGGAATAACCAGTCAATTTCACAAGGTCTGGGAAACTTGTCAGGAGTCTTTTTAATAAGCGATAGTGAAAAGATAAATAAATAATTTATGTCCTAGGTAACAAACAGTTTAAGTAAAAGAAAGGCTTCTTAAAAAACTTCCGGGTTTTGTAGAATTTGAGAATTTGAACATATAATACAGCAGCAATAATTTGAAGAAAAATACATATATAAAATGTTGAGTTTTCAATTCAGTGTAACAGATACCTAAGTGAAAAATTAACCACTGGAACCAACCCCCCCGCCCCCCAGAAATTAAGATACCAACGAGAGACAAATTTCCCCAAGTTTAGGAATTGTATGTAGTTCAGTAATTCGATCAAGTCCAAGAGTTTCTTAGCAAACATGCAAAAAACACCAAAAAAGATGTGAAACTACCACAGTCGTTACTATCATTTTATTTTTAGGAAAAGCACCAGACAGTTGCATGCATAGCCAAACCAACAAACTCAGAACATTCGCCCTTCAATACTATCACTGTTTCAAATCCTTAAATAAAAAATAATCCAAGTGCATTCAAGTACTTGACCACCCAATTTCAGTTACACCGATCTTTAGGTAAATCCCTGATTATATTTGTTTGTTCATTATAAAAGAATGAGATACTGTGCTGAATTTCAAAAGAGACTACAATGGAATGTGAATTGGCAGTGGAGCAAATCAATTACGTACCTATCTCACTGTCCTAGGAAAGAAGGGCTGAGGGAAACTGGGATTTGTGTTCTCAAATACAGCCATCTACAGTGTTACCTAAGAAAGAAATTAATGCCACCAGTGGGTACCAGGTTCAAAGCAAAGGCTTATTTGTTAGTGCTAAGCGCGTTCAGCCGGAGTTCTCAAAATGTTGATTCCAAACAATTTGCAATCCTGGAATGACTGAATCCCAAACGTAGTCCATATTCATGGGAGCCTAGGAAAAGTGGCTTTTTTTCAGCAGTAAATGCAGACTCCAGTTGCAGCAGTTCCAAAATTTGCTATGTAGCACTGAAACAAGAACCAGGAGGTAAGTCCTCCTTTGAAAAGCTTTTCATCCAAATGAGAGCACCAATCTCAACCCACAAACTTCTGACTTTGGCTATCGTTACCAAAAGTCTTGGTACAAAAATGACGTGCTGCACTGCCTCTCCTTTTCAGACTTTGGGTTAGCTGTCAACTGGGAATCTGACACAGAAGTGTCAAGCTTGTGCTTTTCATTTCCTCAAAAGAGCCTGTGTGGAGACAGCACTAAGGAGACCTACAAGATCTCACTTTAAGTAGACATCAAAATATTTTTAAAGTAATGTGTCTAGACACTGATTTTTTAATAATTAGTAATACCCCCCCAATGCTGACGGGTGTTTAAGCACCTTCATAGGGTTGAACCCAGACCTGTCCAACTCAAAAGGGATGCAAGGGACTTCTGGCCAGCTTTAGAATGGACCTTTAACAAGGCATCTTCTGAATAAAAGAATAATTAAAAAAGCCTTTTCAAATACAGTTTTTAAGTAAAGGTAACTGACACTACCTAAGAAAACAATAACCATACCTGCAAAATTAAAATGGGAAAGGGATTTTGAGTGATACATAGTTATTTAATGCTTTAATGCATGTAACAAAACTGCATACAAAAGACCATTTCAATCTATATCATTGAAAACGGTTTGGAGTACAGACCGTAACCCCTAGTAACACACCTAAGCAATGTACATCTCCAGATAATGATTCCCAGAAGTTACACCCTTTCAGAGTAACAATTAACAGTTAGAACTGTCTGTTTCTTTTATTTTCTCAACATTAGTTTCTTTATGCAGCGGCTTGCTTTTTTCATCTTTCATTTTGTTCTGATTCAGCACCTTTTCAGACATCTGATCCTCACTGCTGGAAACGGGATCTAAAACTACAACGGATTCTGTCTCTTTTTCACCGCTAGAAGCGTTTCTTGTAAATTCTGTATGACTAGTTGATCTAAAGGAAAAAGAATAAATATATGAATACAGATAACAGTTCACATATTTAAGAGAAAGAATATAAACATACAGAAAAGCATTTCTGTTATTAGTAGCACGTATGACCAGGACAGGTCTACTAAACTAGTAATAGATTTATAGATTTAACAGCTCTTACATACAGGTAGCAGTGCACAAAATGCAACAGTCACATTACCCCTCCTGAGTCACTTGTTAAGCTACTCGTGGAAGATACTTAACAGGAAATACAAACTCACAAAGCACTGAAGAAAACCCCTGAACTATGAAAGAATCAGTATAAAGACAGCCTGAAGATTTTCTTTTCTCTCTGCTCATCTTGGAGCTGGACTGAGGTCCAACAGAGCAGTTGCACTCAGAGAAAATGCTACCAGTTCCTGTAGTGGGTAGGCTGGAAGTCCTGCAGCCTGGAAGGAGAAGGTGGCTGCTTCTCCACACCTCCACCCCAGAGGAGGCAGTGTGGGGCTTTCGCTGTACGACACTCTACCCTAGCGCAAGGAGGTAGAGGCAGCGTAACCAGATTTTCCGCCGTGGCTCGGCACCAATGGGCTGGTAGTGGTCTCACTGGGAGCAAGTGCAAAAGATTCCTGAAAATTCACCTACTGGATTTGCTGAAATCCAGAGCGTTCGAGACCGACATTCCGTACCGCAGAAATGGGGTTACGTCTGTCTCGACTGCTTGCAGTGCAGGGCTTCTTGCAGATAAAAAGCCCTCGGAGCGGGGAGAGAGGAAGGGAAGGTCAGAGACACCAGGGTTATTTGTCGAGGCTGGCATCATGCTATAAACACTAAAAGCACTTGTCTACATTCAAAAGCTTTGTACTAGTGTTGAAAATGTGCAGGCAAACCCTTAGCTTAACTAGAATGCACCAGCAGAGAACAAGGCAAACACTGGGAAAGCAGGACCTGACCAAGCCGCAGATCGGGATGGGGTATTTCCTACGCCATCTTAACACTGCTGTACGGGCAGGCAGGCAGGCAGCTTGCTTACACACCCCCTTCACCGCGCTGTCCTGAGCCTGTTGGCCCCACACACCTGAGGGTACGTAACCAGGCATGCTTAGAGAGGGCGGTCGCACACGCGTATTCGGCCCGTCTTTAGGCAGGGCCTTACCCAACGGTATGAACACAGCATGGATGTCCACGCCGACACACCTACAACCACCACACCAGGCAGGTGCAAAAATCCTTACTGCAGGAAGGTCCTACACACACCAGTGGGTGTGTGGCTCCACTTTCCCGGAAGCCTAACCGTAGAGCTCCTGAATCCAACTGTATTTGCTAGTCCAGAGCCTTTTTTTTTTCTTTTTTCTTTTAATTTTTAATTTTTTATCCTTACTTAGAAGGAACAGCCTTCCATACTGCTAAGATAACGCCCTTGAAAGGAAAAAGTAGAATCAACTAGAGGCCAGAGAAAGAAACTCAGCTACTGGATCCACCTGCTATGAACTGCCCTTTCTTGTGACAGTCTTTGTCCTAGAGAAAATGGCAAAGAAAAACGAGGTCACCCCGCTCAAAAATTAGAGCACAGGGCGGAGAATGTACTGGCTCCCACCTGACAGGGAGAGAGTAAATGTACAGGTTAAAAACAAATAAATAATCACAGAAACAACAGTTGTTGCACTTTCCATTTCAGAAAGAATTTTCTTGGCTTTACTTGGATACAGCAAATGAAATTCCATGTTCAAGCTTTAATTACAAGAATTGTCTCTAACATTAGAACTTTGGTATAAGTTAATTAATGCAGAAATTGGCACTAATAGATACAGTTTCAGACTCATTTGATTATCATCAGAAGCTAGTGATTTCATACGGAAAATAATGCTTATTTTATGCAAAAGTTGCCAATCATTCCAGAAAATACAAGGTGGGGTTATCTTGAATGTTACGGCAAATTAAACTTTTTAAAGCAGTGTAACCAGAAGAGGGTTATTTTAAAAAGTGCTACCTCTGAAAAGCTGATTGCCCAACACTATAAAAATGGTCAAAGCCATAAATGCCAAGTTCATTTTTATTTCACTTTGGAGGTAACTATCTTTCAAATCCCAACAGCTGGACTATTTAATACAATCTGGTGAATCAAAGTATAATTCTTCACTGGGCTCACAGTGGGGAGTCTGCATTAGTGTATGGCAGCATTCCAACAACTGATGCACAGCCAAACACTCTGAAGTCTGTTTCATTTATAACAAAAATGGATAAAACGACAATCATATTTACCACCTTCAAAGGACAGAAAAATGAAAGATGTCGATATAAAGTAGTTTAATGGAGAAAACCAGTGATTAAATCAGTGTTTCAAGCATAAAAATAAGAATTATTATTCAGACTTCATTGTACTAGCGTTCCCTTCTTCAAATCCTTTACACTGTTGCAGCACCAGCCTGACAGTGCTGCTGTTACAGCTGAGGTATTGTGAAAAATTAACCCTGTTTTTCAGGTATTCATAGCTCAGTTTCAATAGTTTGTCAAGAGCAGAATGCAGGCACAAGAAAGTCTCAGTGCAAGAATGAACATCATTTTGGTGCTCCCTTTCAAAAAAACCATTTTTGCCGCTAAAATAAAGCTGGGAAAAGCAATTAGCACAGACAGAGTTAGCCACAGTTTTGAACAATTCCAAACTTGTCCAGCCAAGGTATTTGCATTTAGTTCTATGCAAAGCTCTTCCCTCATTAAGATAGTTAATATTGTTATCAGTATTCTTGTTATTTGTCCAACTATATATTTAAGCCAGAAACTGAGAACCCAGTTGTATTGTACTCATTCATACATAATTGTTCATAAGTCTGCATGTATTTTTATGACTAAACATAGAAAATCTATAGTGTGAAATCCAGCTTTAGATGATAAATGTGTTTTAGATTAATGGTATGCGATATGCAAAGTCCCATGCAGTACTGCGGACTGCTTGTGATCTAAAAGCATCAAAAGCAATATATTCTATTTATATAGTTAGAGAAACTACAGAAGGTGTAAAAATAAAGGGTTACGCCTGACGGGCCGTCTGTGAACTGGTACCGCTGTCCCCTTGGTAAATCATTTACAGTAGGAGTACAAAAGGACAAACTAAGGACCGGATTGTCAACTGAGACTTGCATTTGCTTTGTTTCCTCTGGTTAATATTAGAATCTCATGTCCTGGTTTCAGCTGGGGTAGAATTAATTTTCTTCCTAGTAGCTGGTGCAGTGCTGTGTTTTGGATTCAGTATGAGAATACCTTGGTATTATTTAACCTTGCTCAGTGCTCTATTCATGAAATCATTGTAATATGTTTCCATTAGAAACCAGAATTTTATGTAAATATCACGGAAAATTTTATTGGATGAAGTCCCATCCAATTTTCTAACTATACGTAAAAGCAGAAGGCTAAAGGAAACCATTCAGGCAAAACACTGTAGGAGAATCCATGGTTTTTACAGCATATTTAGGAAAGACTAGCAAAAATGTATTCCAACAAAGACTGCTTTTGCAAGTACATAGTATAAGCATGGGAGACTCCACGTCAATACTCGGCCTGCAATCCGAGATGGTATGAATGAAGTAATTTCTGCTACAAAAGCCGACACTAACATGACATCAAATTAGTACACACTTTGTCTTTCAGCGAGCTCCCTAATCTAGGATGCTGAAACAGCTGTCATCTGTCTTCAAAGCAAAACCGCTTTCAAAACCAAAAAACTCAACCGGTGCTATTCCTTACTCCCCAAAAGATGAGATTTGAAGCATTAAGCTAATTTGACAGTTGCTTATCACCAGTTGCTTCTTTATAACACTTAAAAACCATGCCTGCATGTCAATTATAGCTCCCTAGTTGCCTAACTACCACCCCGCCTCACCCCAGCATTCCCATTTTCCTACAAGATCGCCATAACAGAGGACAAACACCACTCATGCAATAAAAGCTCCTACTCTGATCTCTCCGTCCTTTCCAAACTCCCATGCTAGGAGGGTTTGCCAAATAACAGCAGCTCAGCTGTCCTGCGTCTGACCCGCGCTAACCAGCCCACAGCCTCAGGCCATACAGGACAGCGGGTCTCAGCTCGGCAGAGCCACCGTGGTCCATGCCAGACCTCAAGAGGCGACTCCATTTTATCCTCAGTCAAAAACTTTTATTGAGAATAAAAGCAAAATTGCAGATGTGTTTATTAAATATTTCAGAATTCTTAAGAAGGCAGGGGAATACAACAGACAAGACCAAAGGTGAATACGGAACAATAGTAAAAAATACACCAAATTTCAAGTCTTGAAAGTCTTCAATGTACAAAAAATTCCATCACACTACAGTATTCGTCAAAAGGAAATTAGAGGGAATACAAACAGTGCCACTAGCGAATTAGTCTGTTGGCTCCCTCCTCTGATAGCACCAGTACTATCTATAACACCAGAGATTTGTGAAGAAAGTGAAAGAAATTCTCCATTTCAGGAAGGCCCCTGCTTCATCTAGCCGAGCAGAAAGGTAGTCAACACAGTAGTCAGCAGAACGGAACTGCAGACAATCCTTAGTACGGAAATTGTTCCCATTTTTAGGTGCTCTTTTGAAAATGCTCAGAAAGATTGGCAAATCCATTGAAATGAAGAATCTTGGAGAGCTTCTACCTGCACTGAGAAGGCACACAAAAAGTACACTCTAAGAAAAATGTGGGACAGTAGCTTTTAGAACAGTTAAAATGGAGGAGACTTCAAACTTCCAGATCATCCCATTGTTTTCTTCATTTGTTGTTCAAACTAAATTGCCCATGTTCAAGCTGCACTGCAAAACCTTTGCAGTTCTGTCTAGCTGAGGCTGAGCTGCTTCCCGCAGAGCTGGTAGATGATTCAGGGGTACTAAGATTACAGCCAGGAGAAGGAGGACAAATCCTTTAATTGTATAAAATCATCAGATTAAGACTAACCCTCTCTGTGGTTCACTCTGTTAGCGGAAAACTGCTGCCCAGAAACAAAATGTTTACAAAGTGCTGGAAAAACAAAAACAAACCAAAAAACCCAGGGGCAGAGCCAGACACACCTTTCCCTTCTGTGTCTACACACCGCAGGGAGTCACGGGAACTCTCTTTGCTCCCAAGGGAACTAAATTGTCACCTATTCTCTTCTAAGCAATTGTCACAGATTTACACTCATGCTGGGTTAAACATCTGGGAAGAGATTTGCAGAGGAAGTTACCTGAATACTGAGGTAAGGCCTCAATTTCTCTATAGGACACACATTACCGATGTCTTCCCCCTCAGCACCACCTCAGCGAAATTTCACACATTCCAAATCATCCGCTTAATGGCTTCAGACCCTTCTTCTAACAACCTCCTGCACTGAAATAACACCTCACCTAGTGGTTCGAAACCCAAATTTTTTCTTCTGAATTAATTTCTCTGAGCTCTCATCACTTACTTTGATTACAGGAAAATTTCAGAATCAATCTGTATTTGTCAGTGTTACAGCCCTTTTCCATAATCCTTCCTTTGGCAACTCAGATGAGTGGCCCAGCGGATTCAGCTGGAGGCCACTGCTTTGGTCACAGCCAACCACAGCAGTAACCCTATTACCTGTGGAGTCCCACTTCAACCAAAGACTGCTGCAATTCCTTCCCCCATGCCTATTTTGGTTAGATTGTCACTGACTTGGGGGCGGGAAGGATCCAGGATGTTACTCAATGAGCTGACAGCACAGGAAAGACATGGACCTGTTGGAGAAGGTCCAGAGGAGGGCAACGAAAATGATCCGAGGGCTGGAGCACCTCTCCTATGAAGACAGGCTGAGAGAGTTGGGGTTGTTCAGCCTGGAGAAGAGGAGGCTTCGAGGCGACCTCATTGCGGCCTTCCAATACCTGAAGGGGGCCTATATGAGAGATGGGGACAGACTTTTTAGCAGGGTCTGCTGTGACAGAACAAGGGGTAATGGTTTTAAACTAAAAGAGGGTAGATTTAGACTTGACATACGGAAAAAATTTTTTACAACGAGGGTGGTGAAGCACTGGAACAGGTTGCCAGAGAGGTGGTGGAAGCCCCATCCCTGGAGGCATTCAAGGTCAGGCTGGATGGGGCTCTGAGCAACCTTATCTAGTTGGAGATGTCCCTGCTCACCGCAGGGGGGTTGGACTAGATGACCTCTAACGGTCCCTTCCAGCCCAAATGATTCTATGATTCTATCACTTCTGTCTACGTATTGTTAACAGACATATTTCCAAGACTGGGTCTTTTTCAATGGTGTGACCTTCTTTCTCTGTGAGAAGGGGTGTGCTTAACTGTTACTCAACATGAATAAAGAAAGATGAATAGGACTGTTGCATTTAAATGTCTGTAAGTATTACGTCCTCCTTCAGATTACAAGCCTCAGTAAATGTATGCTGCAGCAAAGAGAAGTATCTCATGCACAACTATTCCTATGGTTTTTCTATAGGAAGCCATACATTAAAATCTAGGTGAAGAAAAAAGAATAAACACAGCACTACAAGAAACACCTGGTAATTATGAGACACGCAATCCTCTCCTGTGCTCTAAATGGTTTGCTGGGCTGCTGCAAACATCTGAAGCAGGTCACACCTGTGTCAGATTTCAAGGAATTGCAAATGATGAGACAGCTGCATCCTTTTACCTCAGGTATGAATAAGGAGAAGAAGAGCCACAATAAATCTTTTGTATGCCTTTGTCACTTAAGGTAACTGGTCAAAGCAGCGTACTGCTTGTTTAGTTAACAGGGTTTACTTTAGGAAATAGTGTGGTGCAACAGGAGCAGCCTGTGCTTCAATCCGATGTCCTCACACCGCATGTTTCGGGGGGGTTATTCACTAAACGAGTTCTCACATGGCCCCCGGGCCAGCTGTTAAAGGTTGGATCCAGTCTTCTGGTTTAGTTTCACTCATCCACTGAAGCCAGGGATCCAGTTTATGCACTAAGACCACTCCAGGATAGAAATCAAAGCATAGCAAATAGGGACAATAGGGAGATTTGCTTCAGAAGTGCTCTGCTGATCCAAACTAAACTGCTAGTACAGATGTACCCAGGGAAGCCCAGAAAACTGCCTAATTACAGAGACAAGTTGTCAGACATGTCAGACAAATGAACTTCCTTCTGACGTCTGCTTCAAATGAGCCCTGTTTCAAAACGGCACTTACACACCTTGGAGTCTGGAGGCTGCTTCTACTAACCTTTGCTGCAAACAGTACCCAAGAGAAAAAAGAAAAGTAATTGCACTTCAACATGGTGTGAAGCGTCTAGGTTATTTCGGCTCCTTCCTGCCAGCCCAGCAGCAGAAGAGTATGAGAGCCCCAGCACCTCCTCTCTCGCCAGAAAACCATCCTCAACAAGGAGCCTTTCCAAATAAGCAGGTTTACACCAGTGACTAGGTGCAAAGAAGCCCCGCAGCACTAAGGAATCTGGCCCACCACATTTGTTTTAATGTTTTAAACAGATAAATTAAAGTGAAACGTGTCTTTTAGGATGTCACTGAATAGGCAAGCTGAGAAATAAATTGAGCTTCACATATGCTTTTATAACACATAACAACTGTGACTGTCAACACAAGATCCTTTTCACTGTCAATTCATCACGCATTCTGTGAGACCTTGGGGCCTGCAATTATTTCATTTTCTTTCTTGTAAAAGGAATTTCCACTTAGTTTGGTGGAATAAAGGTAGACAAAAGGTGGTAGGAGTTGCTCTATTTTCTGATTAAGGTTATCTGTTCAAAATTGTAGAAATCCACAAACTACACACACACAGTATTTTTCAGGAACAACCTCACCTTTCTGTCAGGGTAGCAGTTCAAGAAAATGCAATGGCATTATTCATGTCAAATTAACTGTTGAAAAAAATCTTCATCTTTCTGATTAAATTAAAATGAAGATCGTCTGTCTTCTAAGGATACTTAAATGAAATAAAAGGGGAAAATACATATGATTGGAAAAGGCATTCTGCTTTTAAAACTCGGTGCAAATTAAATGAAACTGTAGACCACAAAAGGAAATTGGGCTCTTTATCCATTCAAAAATAAATTATAAAAGTACCTGCAGGAGAGTGAAGTAAATATCAGTTCATAAAAACAGATGCAAACTGAATTTCCAGCTCATTTGTCGGGATTTACTCCTTTGAACCAAGCAATGGAGACTTGCTAGAATTGGTACTGGTGGTATTTTTTTAACTGACAGAGCAGGAAATCAGAGGTTTAATTAGCCATGATTACAATATTCTGCCGACCTGATTTCTCTCATCTATTTCCTTTTCTTGAAGTGACAAACTGACAAACAACCTGGCAAGGGAACTGAAGCAAGTGCACAGCCTAATTTCAAAAGGAGCTCGGTATTGTTGTAAAACAAGCCAATCCTCCATGGGATCTGTCTGAAATAAGTATTTCTGAAGCAGGTTTAACTCTTTGATGCTTAACTGGCACCTGGGTCTTCAATCTGTTGTGATGAGAGATTCTTCTGCCCATCTGTGCAAATGCAGCACTACGTGTTTGTTGGTTTGTTTTTTTTTTTTGAAGAATATTAATCTTGAGATTTCAAGGTAATTCAGAATTTTTACCAAGAAAGATGTCAGAGTAATAGTCAGGACTTGTTTTGGTCCAACAGAAACTGCCTTGCACATGTGCATACAGACCAGTATGACTTACATGATTCTATTTTTTAAAGTACTGTGCTACAACTACCTTTTTTTAAATCAAGAGTTAACTATATAACTATCATCCCTCTTCAGGATATGGGGAAAAACCTCAACCTTGCTATTCCTCAACAACTCTTGAGTTCTCTTTTTTGGCAGAGAGGGGAAATTTTTTTTGAAGGATGTTCACAGATTTTACACAGAAAAAGAAATTTATTGCAGAGAATTCAATTTCTACCTCCACGTGAGACTGCAAATTATCTGAGAAGTCAGTGGTAAACAGCTGCAGACTGTACATTTATCCTGTTAACCAAAATTGATATTAAATCACTTTCAAAATGCACCCCCTAAACAGATCTGGTACTAAAATATATCTAGAAATCCATACTCTACTTACTGCAATGTAGGCTTGGAGCCTGTGACACCCTGGTTAGAGACAGGACCCGAGTCAGGTACTTTGGAACTGAATTCTGTCTCCAGGTCTTTCTTGTTCAATGCTGTTTGTGCGGCACTGGCTCCCGAACCTAGCACAGGCAGAGATTTTGATTCTGTGGCGGCCAAGATTCCAGTGGGACCTAAAACCCAAAGAAAGTTTAATGCTTCTGTTATCCAGATTGATTGGTCTAGAAACACATAGGCACAGCAGAATTCAAGCTAAGTGCAGAAATCAAAATGGAATTTTAACGAACAGCATCCAGTGCATGGAGAGTATCAAAATACTGTATTTGCAGCTTCTACTCTCCCTGCCAATATTAACCCTTTCTTCTACCACAAGCAGGGCTGGCTATACTGACACAGTCCTGCACTCAACCCCCTGCCTTCTGGGACAGTAAGTCCTGCTGCCTACGCAGCACTGCAAAGTCACAACTTGCCAGTGCTCTCCCAGCCTGAAGTGCAGCTGGAGCAAGATCCAGCCCAATGACAAAAAAAAGCCTGTTCTCATACTAATGAGCAGTCAGCAAACAGTCTAGCCACAAAGTTGGAATGGGCTGCCCAGGGAGGTGGTGGAGTCACCATTCCTGGAGGTGTTTAAGAAAAGACTGGACGTGGCACTTAGTGCCATGGTCCGGTTGACATGGTGGTGGTGTTAGGGCAAAGGTTGGACTTGATGATCCCCGAGGTCTCTTCCAACCAAATCGATTCTGTGATTCTGTGAAAGTCCAACCTCAAACCATACAGTGACATTAAAACCAGTCACACCTGCATCAACGGTGGCATGGACTTAAACTTGCACAGACTGTGTTTCTAACCAGGCAGAACATCAACAGTTTCTTACAGAAGATGATAGTAAAGCATAACTTAAAAACTGCAGACCCTTGCTCTGCAGAAAGGTTAATTCAAAACAATAGTCCTAAACCCTCATTTCTCTGGTTATCATTACTTTCAAGAGTATTTTCACAGTAGGCTCAGACTATTAACTCCAATAACAATGTCTTAGCTCCAGGCAGGACAGAGGAACCTGTGTCTATATGGCTGTGTGTGCAGAAAATCCTGACAAAGGCATTGCTTGGAGAAAAAGGGGGTGAAAAGCGACAGGTACAATGGGGAAGTGAGTCACTGTAGAAGTAAGCAGGGTTCTCCATAACGGCTGAAATGGCAATGGTCTGGAAGAGAAAGTAAAGCTTCAAGAGCCACTTAATGCAGGGAGAGGAAGAGGACTAGAAAGGAGTCCAGCCACTTACTGCCACTGTCCTGATCAGTGGTCACTTTCCGGCGTCGCAGAACTCGTTCCAGCTCTGTTTCACTGCTGTCTGTTTCAAGGGACTTCAAGCTTCGGGAACTAGTGGATTTATTCAATGTTTCCTACCGCAAGAAATAGGCATGAGAAGCTCTCTGAGGACATATTATGCCTCACCAAACATCCCATATGCACAACGTGAGAACTTTTTAAACTGTAGAAAAGCAACTGCAGTCCTAGACCAGTGCGCGAAGCTCTCCCATTAGTACAACAGTGAGCATCTGGGGGTTGGCTCACCACTCCTCCCCCTACCTGGATTTCCTGATGCAGCGGTTAACCATACTTACCTACACATTAGAGGGTTGATACCACGCTTAAGAAAGATGATCTGGATAGCTAATGAACAAATCCTGATGTTTCCAGGGAACTGCCAACTTCCTCCATCTTAACATTTAAAGGATCTTAAAAAACTGCTAGAGTGTTATCATGCTCATAATTAATTTCTATTAGCAAAAAGCCAAAGATCCATATTTTACTGCTCCGGCATGTTTTATGTTTTAGCAGGGTCCTGTGTTGCTGCATCCTGGTATATACACATATCTGCAGAAGTCAGTATGTACTAGCGGCAACTGCAGCATGTTATTATATCCTATAACCTAGCTGATGGGCCACAGACCTGACCTTATGTCTGCATACTTCATCATTTCTCTTACTCACAGAGTTAGATCTCAAGTTGAAACAGTTTTTTATACGTACAGAATAGAAATGCATGCTATTACTGCCTTATGCTAAGGTTACTATTTTATATAAGCGAAACTGCAAGTCCAGCAGTGCTCTTCTTAAGGTGGGGGGAAAATAGGCTTTAATCAAAGCCTGAAACCTCCCAAACTTGCCCACAGGAATTTTAACATGTACATAGTGCATACCGCATGCACTTCCCAACTGACAAGAGTCAGTTACTGGATCAGCACTCACTTGACCATAAAATTTCCCCAAAATGTATATAATGCAACTCAATATTTGGGACCCATATGCTATTATATTCTCCTTCTGAGTCTTGCCATCTTTAGGAATGCCCAGGAATCCTGTTTATTCAGCCTTCCAAAACATGTCAGACTTGTATAGCATTTTTCCAGAGCATAAATAACATATTCTTAACATTTTTTGTTAACAAGCACATAAATTCCAAACAGAAATAGCAAATGACAAAAGGAAATGGCATCGCAAGTTGCAAAAGCTGTGCTACTTTCAGAATGCCAGCAAAGTAACTAATTCTTCACCCTCATCCAAAAATTAAAATATTTTCTTTGGCAGCTATTTGAAATTTAGCTGAGCAGGTACATTATTAATTAGTATTATGCTCCAGATCTGTACAAACATACATGTACGAAAGCAACTCGAGCAACAGAGTCACTCAAACTCTGCAATTTGCAGAACATAAATGTGTTTTGTTTGTAACAATTATATGGAGGTCTACATGAAATGCATAATTAGCATAGTAACAACAAATGTTTACTCCATCACATCCCACCCCCATATTTGTTGTCTGACTGTGCATAATGACTGGTCTCAAGAATAGACTGGAATTGGATTTTATACAGTTTGTCTTATACTGCAAATATCCTGAAGGGTTCAAAAGCAACAAGCTAGATACAGAAGTACAGTAACTGTTGGTTTCTCTCTGCTCCCTCTGAAGTACATAATCAAGTCTCCCCTGATGTCAGTGATACAGTGTCAAAAAAATAAAAGAGCTATTACAAAACGAAAGGACTTTCAAGTCCAACCCTCACTGGTCCAAACAGCACACCGTACCAAACTATTCCTATAATTATGGAGTTCCATTTAAAACACAATCTCTGTGCTGCAATTTATTCCTTTTCTATTTACCTCCACATTTAATTATGTCTCCCTCTAATTAGAGCTCAGCATTAAGGTCTGGTGGCTCTCTAGATCATTTCTTCCCTTCTTCTCCTGCTTTCATGTGTCTGGAGAAGAGTAAGTTTAACACGTCATTGGTGCCACACTCATGATTTTAAGTCACAGCATAGGCTGTTGCTATGCTCTTTGCTGTACTGCCTTGCATCACCCAACACAATACTGAAGTTATTTTTATAAGGGCTGTTTAGGTGCTATCATGGATGATTAGAATGATTAGTCTTACCTTCCGTAGACTGGATAGAGTGGATGTGAAGCATTTTGCTTCAATATGGGCATAATTTCACCGTATTTCACCTTACAAAGGCAAAATTTCACCTGTTGTGCCAAAGTTGCACTTCAACTTTAAAAGCTTCAGGGTCACAGAAGTCAGGGAGCAAGAATTACAGCTTCTCCTGACAGGTTGATACAATTTTAGCACTTGTGCAAAAGAAGAAACCAGTTAAATAAGCAATGCAATGATTAAGTAGAGGACAGAAGAGGGGCAAACTTAGCACATTGCTCTGAGCAGGACCAAATACACGCTTAATGTTTCTATTTAGTGATAAATGCGTATGCGGACAGCTATTCAGAATCATTTTTTTCTTCACATAAATGCAGACAGACTAGAGAGCTCTTGCTCTATTTAGGCTAGGTCTACGCTAACAAGAAATTTGGTGCCTCAGGAGAGAGCAGGAGTTCAGAGCAGTTGATGAGGAGAACCCTACATCGACTATATGTGTAGCCCAGGGGCTTTATTTTGGACTAGATATATTCAGCTGCTTCTCCTCCCTAAGCATCCCCACTGTGAGCACAGTTTCCAAAGGATCTATCGCAGGTGCAGACCATAACATCCCCTCTAGTGGCAGGAACATACAAATCCGGAGCAGAGATAACAGGCTAGTTTTCTCCAAAATAAATTCTGTTAGAAAGACCAAATCCAATCTTTCAGTCAGATTGAAGTAAAAAGTGGAATCAGGGGAGATTCAATCCAAAACTGCTCTACAGCTTCAAACTAAAATACTAATGCAGAAGTTTCAAATACTCAGCTTTTTTGCACAGAAGGCCCTGTCAGCTCAATGAGAAGAAAAAATGGAAATATAAACTACAAGTTTTCTTACCAGAATCCCTTTTAATTCTTTCATTGCACTTTCAGAGGGCTTTGGTGTTTCTGGCTGTAAACAAACAAAATACACGCATGTTAAAAAACAGGTGAAGTAGACCATGACAGACTTTGTAGTTGAAGACAGACATCGCACGAGGGTCTACTGCACAGGCGTGCAGTTGTATTATGTTCCTCTGCTCTCTTTTCTCATAGGCACATGGCTAACATTCAATCTATTTTCTTATGCAGACAAAGGGAAGAGTCTTAGCTCTTAACACTGTGAATCACAGCCTATACAAAAAGAAAGATTATGCTTTTGTGAAGATGGTAAACAATATTTTATAGGAGCCACATTCAGGTACTGCTAAATACAGTCTACTTCTTGATCACACCCTTTACTCAATTCAGTTATTCTCTCTGTTCTTTTTGTTTCTCAGTAGCTGTTTGTTTACAAGATGTTCTTTCAGTTCCTTTCTGTGTAAAAGAAATCAGGCTTCTATTTACTTACTGTTGGCTTCACTTTCTATTCTTCAGATATATGCTGCTGTAATTAATTTTATTCAAAATCAAGCAAAGCCTGATTTATTTTCACTGTAAATTAGTGTACTTGGCTAATATTGCTGTTATTTATTCCAAACCTTTGTTTTAGGCCTGCTTGACTGGTTGACTGGTCTCAGATGAACTCCCTTTTTAATTCTGTCCATCATTTCTTCAACAGCTTGTCTCTTCAGATCCGTAACTTCTTCACCTGTTCCAAAAATCAAAGAGCATATCACTTTCCAGATATGAAGTACAGAGAAATAGTACAAAGAAAAAACCATGTTAAACAGCCTCCTAAACAGCTTGCTTGCCATATACAGCCAGTTACCATAATCATAAATTAGTTTTAACGATGACACAGCATTTACATATACAACATACTCAGTTATACTCCATGCAATAGGTCTTCTGCCTGTATGTGTGATGCATATTGCTCATGTACTATCCAAATCCATGCTTTTTTCTCAATTTTATTAAAAATGTAAAAGACAAGCATAAATATATAGGTTTATTTTTCTCCTCACAAGTGGGCTGTTCACAGGGTCTTAATCTTCCGCAACTCAAAAAGGCACTTTACCTTACACTTGATACATCTATATGGTAGCAGAAACCAGCAACCTCATCTCTAGTTATCAGGAATTCTAGTTTCTGGATACAGAGCCCTTAGTGATCTTTGCTATCTCACAAGTCGGCTGTTCACAGGGTCTTTCTCACAGGACCACTATCTTAATCTTCCCCAACTCAAAAAGGCACTTTACCTTACACTTGATACATCTATATGGTAGCAGAAACCAGCAACCTCATCTCTAGTTATCAGGAATTCTAGTTTCTGGATACAGAGCCCTTAGTGATCTTTGCTATCAGCTAAACTGTCACAAGCTCTTCAAGGAAAAAATGCCAATCTACACACATCGAGAATCCAGCCATGGACTTTGCAAATGCCAAACTGCAGTGCCTGCAGAAGTTTGGACAGAAGCAGGGCCCAGATCCTGAAAAATGCACAGCTCCTATAACTGGGAATTGCAAAAGCTCAGTGCTATCGGCTGAAGCACCAAGGACTGAAGAATATGGCCCCACTTCCACTGTATCTCTTCACTGTGGCTCAGCAGAAATTTCCACAGCTTCACTGACACAGGGCAAGCTGATAAGGCCCCATGGCGAGGCCTATACGCAACCCATCACCAGACTACCAAACGTGCCTCATAATTCACATGGGTTTGAGAACCTTGCTGGAACGATACACCAACACTCAGACTGAACTAAAACCACACACTTAAAGAACACTGCATTAAGTTAAAGGGCAAAACTTAAATACCATGAAAGGGAACACTTGCTTTTTCAAGAGATTCAGTATCAGGACTGCAAAATATTCAGATGAAACGGGAAGCTATGTGATGAACCTAAACAATACCTGTTAACTTATCAGTGTTCTGGATAATGTAACAAAAGACACTTAACGTGCCATAGCAAAAAGGAAGAAAAAAAAAAGAGTACTTAAAGCAAATACATGGAGAAATACGGCTGACGCTATTCAACGCTGCAACGTTGTACCTTATATAACAGGAATTTAAATAGACTTTCGCTCTCTCACTTGTCAGGGTACTATTGATGATTCATAAAAATGCAGTTTCTGTATTCTAAGCAGATTTAACGTCAGGCTTTAATTTCACAAACAGGCTGTTTCAAATATAAAAGCTTAATTGGTGGTATGGGATAGAAACCACTCATTCTAAGTTCTTAACAAGGGTCAAAACAAGCCTCAAGTTGGATATAATAGCTAAATCAAGAAAGAACTTTCCCCCCTTTATTTTTATTTTAAGAACAGCTCAACTATCAAGAGAAAAAGCAGTTTATATGTGACTGAAGAAAGGTCAGAACTGTTAAAGTTTGCTAATAAATAATGAAAGAATGGGGTGTAGAGAACTTCTAGTGAATTTCATAGTATTTCCTGCAATCACTGTTTGTAACTGTCTCAAGGAAAAGGTGTAATCAAAACATCTAGGACACTTCAAGGTAAGGAAACCCGACAAATGAAGGCAACATAATTGAAGTTTTACTGAAAAAGACTGACTCTTCATCAGAGATCTTGGTACAAGGTCACTTCTCTATTTTACCCAGCCCAACAACCTGATTTCTCTCAAACTGGTAACCAGTTCCCAAAGATTCACCCAGGGACCTGCCCAAGTCACCCATTCCTCAGTTCCCTACCTGAAAAACAGAAGGGGTAATACTTCCTTTCCCCCGCTTTCTGCCTGTTGGTCCCATCCAACAATCCAGCCATGCTTACATACCATTACAGTCTGCTAACAGCAATTTTTTCTTTAACAGTTATATCCTATACCTATAATTTCAGCCAGGTTCCCTTCTGCAGCCCCTTTCTTTGTTTAAGTAGCAGCAAATGAGTTAAGCAATTCACTACAAACAAACTCCTGCTGTTTCAGAAGGAAGAGAGAAACAGTGAGAAAAACCTTGGTTATTTAACTGGCAATGCTTGTCTAACTAGCTCTGACTCTTCAGGCACTCGTGATCATTTGTAAATCTGTACTTAACTCCTGTTCTCAACCTACTAAGTTTCCAGCTTCCATTAACAACAATAAAATGTCATTTCAGCTGTTACTTTGCATGCAGAGCCACCTTAGTGCAAGGTTCTGTTTTGTTTTAGGTTTTCAGTATTATTAAAGGATTAGCATTACAGTCAACACTGAGTGGTAATTTTGCAAGACATGAATTGAGGGATGAAAACTGAAGCTTTTAACAAACTACCTCTGCAGAGAGGCTCTGGACAAAAGAAATCACAAACAAGAAGCCATTGGAAGTTGGAAACTTCCCTGTATTATGCTGTATATAAGCTACTCTGCTTAATGCATGATGGGTTTGTTCTCCTGCCTCTTCCAGATAACCTGCGGAAGTTCAAAGCCCTGGACATACTGTAGCTGCAGCGACATGCTGTAGTGTCTCCAGCTTAGAGGCACAGGTTGAGCCTCTCAACACCGCTATAGTGCAACTACTATGGGCAGTACCAAACCGTCAGGGTGCAACTGAAGAAGCTGCACGGCATCAGTGTAACAGCACGGGGTCTAAATGGAACCATCCTGTTCTCCCCATCCATGTCACCCAGCACACCACCATACCCCACTAAGTGCTTATCTTGTCAGGTCCTTCTGTGAGCCTATAAGAAACATGACCACCCTCTCCCCAAGGAAAAAAAAAGAAAGATTTTTTCTTTCTGCCACAACAGTGAATGAAATCAGCTCGGTGACATATCTGATGAGCATTAGAGCCAGAAGTAGGAAGATCAGAATTTTTCTTCAGTTACAGCAAGTGCTAGGTCTTCCCTTAAGGTTTTTGATCTGCAGCCTCAAAGATTGTTCATACTAAAATCCATTTGGAAAAAGTAAATTGGATGCTGATCACTAGCTCAGTTGTGGAGGCACAGATGGCTACAAGGGATACACAAACTTGCTTGGGATTGCAAGGAAGCTTGCAGTAGAGTAGAATAGACTATTTCAGTTGGAAGGGACCTACAACGATCATCTAGTTCAACTGCCTGAACACTTCAGGGCTCACCAAAAGTTAAAGCATGTTTTTAAGGGCGCTGTCCAAACGCCTCTCAAACACTGACAGGCTTGGGGCATCAATCACCTCTCTGGGAAGCCTGTTCCAGTGTTTGATCACCCTCTCAGTAAAAACAATGCTTCCTAATGTCCATTCTGAACCTTCCCTGACATGCCTTTGAACATTCCCATGTGTCCTGTCACTGGATCCCAGGGAGAAGAGATCAGCACCTCCCTCCACACTTGCTCTCCTCAGGAAGCTGTAAAGAGCAATGAGGTTGCCCCTCAGCCTCCTCTTCTCCAAACTAGACAAGCCCCAAGTCCTTAGCCACCCCTCACTGGAGTACCAAAGCTACAGTACCAAAGATATCACTTCCTATCTTAGAGCACATATACCTGGGCCGCAATCACATTTCTGGACTGAAAGGTAGATGAATATGCTGGGACATGGATAGCCATAATTAATGTTGCCAATTATAACCATTTGCATCACTATGTGAACCTACAGTTCGTTTTCCCTAGATTTCTCTGCAGTACCTTGTGACTAATCTGCATGACTTGAGAAAGGATGAGCCATACCTGACTCCTGCTGAGGAGGTTTCTCCTTCTTGCTCACATTAGTGTTGGAGTGAGATCTCTTGCGAATCATTGACATGAGAGACCTTTGGGGAAAATGAAACTGCACATTGTCATTCTGTCCTGTATTACGCACTGTTAGAATGAACTTGAACATGACACACAAACAGCTTGCTTATACCTGATTATACAGCTACTTACAAAAGACTCATTTAACAGTTCTTGAATGCAGATGTATGTACTGAATTACCCCCCACAATGCCTCCCATCAAAATGCACCAGAGAAATTTATTTCTTTTTAACAGACATTAGGCACAAATCAAAACACTCCACATTTGAATATTAAAAGACAGTGTCTCATTGTGACAAATGACAAATTGAAGCTGCTCCGACATAATAAAAGGAAAGAAGAGCTGTAGATACTGAAGTATTATTCTCCAAAGGACACTTAAATATGGTGATCAGTATCTCCTCACCAACTCCAAGTTTGTAATCTTCTTACAGTGTCAAATAATTAACCCTTCACTGTAGTCAAAATGTAAAAAGCCAGGCAAGGAAATTATTCATCTTAAAGCCCAAGTACAAGCTTCTATGCACATCTGATGTGTCAGTGGGGCCTATCATTCCCTACTGAACATTGTGCTCCTTATGGAGCAGAGCGAGCTCCCTGACATAAAGGCTCAAAACTGTCCCAGAAAAAAGCAGCATCCAGTGCCTAGGCTCTGAAACAACCTCTACGCACATAAACGTTACAGGGTATGAAGGAAATACTCTGATTTAGCTACTACAGGGCTTAAAATTAATAGTGTTACCTATTCCAAGTAGTAAAGGGCACAAAATAAACAAAACAAAAAACCACAACACCCACACACAGTTAATTTATGCTACACATTACTGAGAAAGAAGGAAGCAAGCCAAAAGAGTTAACGGATTTAAAAGGAGCAAAAGACCAAATACAATTGTTCAGAACATGTTTAGTTTAGATTTCTAAAAACAAAGCTAGAGGCACAAAGGGATGAATTCTCCCTACTAACCATCTGTGCTCACATATTTAACACAGCAGTTAACAACACTCCTCTATGTAATTTCTATTACAGAAGGTTAGAAAGTGCCATCGAACTCCCTTTATTTTTAAAACGAAGTAGACATGAAGATTACCTGAGTTCCTAAAATTAATTAAGTACACTTTAGGGCTTAGTTAATTAATTTGGGTTTAATGCCTGATACATCATATGTTGGTCAGCCTCTTTTGCAGTCCTTTGCAAAAATCAGGCTTAATTTTGATAATTTTGCCCAAAACTGCTTGATGATGAGGTGGTGATTTTCTGTTTGTTTTGTGGGGTTTTTTTTCTTTTTAACTTATAAAAGCAATTGTGGGAACTCAATGGACTCTGCATTTTCATCACCAGTATCCGACAGGAAGGGACACCCAGTAATCCAACATATCCTTTGGTTCAAAAGGGTTTTCTTAGCACTAGATTCAGACAAGCATTTCACAAGTCTATAATTACAGCTATCAGGTGAACAGAAAAAAAATAATCTCCTAAATTTAGAGGAGACAGGTATCCCTCCTCCTCTTAAGTCACAGTCTAGACAATTTATTAGGCTTGGCAAGGCAGACACTGTTCAAAATTGGTCAGGGTGTTAGTCTGTTGGCAGGTGGGGCACAGAGCATGTCTTGCTGGTAAAGGGCCCAAGACAGATGGAGAAAGCCTTTTTTTCTCTAAAGACACTCTTCCTGCTTGGATGCAAGCTCATGTAATGTATTCAGCTTCAGTAAAGCATTAATGCTGTGACGCTTGATTTAAGCACTTACCGTATAGGGTTAGGAGGAGGGGGAGGCGGAAGAGGAGGAGGGGGTGGTGGTGGAGGAGGAGGTGCAGGATTTTCAGACTGCTGTATTCGTTTTTGAAGTTCATCAACTGCACAGGAGGAATAAAAAAAAACTAGAGTGAGTTCTTGGTTTCTCATATCTGCTCTAAAAACCAATTCTGATGGTTTAAGCAAAAAAGCTACTAATTAACTGAAAAACAAACAACATGACTAAACACACAACTGCTAGGAAGTCCTATTTTTGACATTTTCTACCAAGAACCATGTCCCAGACACACAGGATTCTCATTAAACCAGTTACCTCCAACCTGAGTTACTTTGGAAACTAAAATGACACTCTCCCTCATACAGGATTCTTCATATAAAATGATAAAGCAGAGAAAAGTTTATCACATTCCTGTGATATGGACTAACAAGAGATGAAAGAAATGAACAATTTCAGCTTCCAGACTTATCCCTGTCTTGCTAATGATGTGAGTTTTCCCCATAAAAATGGTCAAAACTGGGCAGTGGGTAGAATGGATTCTTTCTCTCCTGTTTTCACGTCAGATCTAAAAATGTGGAAATTACTTTTCTGCACGTGAAATGTTGTCAAATGCCATTAGCTGGGGAAGGGCAGAAACAGAAGGAAAAAAGTCTTAAATTTCTTTTAGTTAGCAAAATTCCTAGCAATTGTTCTGAATATAGTAGGAATTACGGCAGAAGTACAGAATATGATTTCCAAAGTCGATATGGTTCTTTGTTCTCATAATGACAGATTCAAATTAAAATTACAATCTTTAACATTTACTTTTAAATATAAAAAGGGAAAAAAGGAATCAATTGAGTGACTTTAAATTCCAGGTACAATCTTTATGCTGATAAATTACTTCTGAAGGACAAACAAAGTCTGGAAGGAAAGAAACTGCTGTGAAGGTTAGATCTTTTCCAAGGCAGCTGAGAAGAACTCATATGCTGCCTAGGCATATTTTTAAGGCTGGGTAATGTAAAATTCTAACACAAAGCAGTCCTTCCAAGGAAGACTGCTAACAAGCTTAAAGATAATCCTGCTCTTAAGGATATGTTTCAGAAAAGCATGGCTATATGTGGAGTCTTAACTAAGGATAGGGACTTTGGCCTCTGATGAGGGCTCAGATGCTTCTCTGACCAGGTATCATACATAAAATTTGCACCTGCTGAGGCCTTGAGCTGAACAAGGACTGAAAGCAAAGGCACAGACAAATAGTTAACCAGCCATAGCCCCACATTCCCTATAGTGAGGCCACACACACCAGGGACCTTCTTTCAAAGCAATTTTAAATAAAGAGCATTAGGTCAGAAATTTCCTTATTCAATAGACAGGATGCTGCAGACCAGCCAGGCACCATCCTGTTAGCAATAACCATATGAACATCTGCACTGCGACAGTTGTTCCCTCCTAAATATTCTGCGAATGTTTTCTGCCCGTATTCTTTGGGCGTTAGTTTAAATCTTAGAGACAGACACACACAGTAGCTAGCAAGACTTTCCTTCCTTTCAGTCACTTGACATGGAACAAAATATTTGACTACAAGTAAGAGATTTTGATGTATAATTCTCATGGATACAAGCCATAAAAAGCCCATCAGATTTGTTTGGCTAACTCCCTTTGTAGGGCTCTGAAGGCAGTATTTATCTTTGAAATAGCTGGTTAAAACAAAAACAAAACAAAAAAAACCCAAAACAACACCAAAAAAACCCACCACACCAAACATCCCCCCAGACCCTCTCACATCAGCAGAAATTGTTTTCTCACATGTCAATATGAAGGGCTAAATCACATCTTTATTTTCACTGGTGTCTTCTATTGCAAGAATATTAAATGGTTGGGTAGCTTGATAATTATGGGATGTTTTTGTACAATTCATATAACGTAGACTCCACAGTCTGATAAATCACTGTGCATCTTTGAAACAAAACAAACAAAAAAACCCCACCCAAACAAACCCACCCAAAAAACTCCAAGAGCAGAGTTACCCTAGTTATCCCATTTTATTTCTTTTTTAAATTAGGTAAGAGGAATTTATTTTTAAAACAAGGCAAGACGATACATTTTGACTTAATATGAAGGACTGTGACTTGCACACAGAAACCCATTTACATATACATATCCATCTGCAAGACTCAGGGCAATCTCACAACAGTATTTTTGTACCTTACAGAAGTTTTACAAGGTTATTCTCTCACACACATTCTGGACATGGCTGTTCTGCGGTTGAAGGCAGTTGCTGTATTTTGTCTTGTGAAGCACAGATCTGGATCTTGGCTACATAAAAGCTGTTGTTTCTGGGGTCTCAAACATAACGTATAATTCTATTAGAGGTGCACAACTCACACCCCCGCAACTATACCTCTAAAATGAGTTATTACGTGATTTTACCTGAATGCTTTAGGTCTCTAGCTTTTTCTTCTGAGTTCTGACACTTAAGCTCTAGTTCCTTTTTATCTTCTTCCAAAAGTTCTAGTTGCTGTTTAAGACGACTAATCTCCTTATGGAGTGCTTGATTCTCTAGCTGCTCTTCCAATTCCTTGATCTGCAGTTAGCAAACAATAGCATTCATTATAAGAAAAGATATTTTCTGTCCTTCCTTTCAACAAATAACCCATTAGGCACAGTTATTCCTGAAAGCATGATTATAGCACAGGAGTGAACTACAAGACCCAGAAAGAGTACAATTTTTGAATGAGAGCTAGACAGATTTTTCTGAGAGATGCCAGAATTTTCTATTATGAGCCTAACTTGTCTTACCTCTTCTTTAGAATACATCTTTAGCTCCAAAGTACTTAAGCTATAAGATGTTCCCTTTTTCTTTTTATAGAGGTTTTTATCACATAATTAGAGTTTAATTTCAGAACGTTTCTTCATTTGAAAGCACAAGAACATTGACATTTTTGTTCTCTTACTGACTGCTTCCACTGACAGGTTGGTTATTTAAACTCCCTTGTCTCAACTCTTGCAGATGCCAGTGGGTGAATTACGGAATATCAGGTTTAGAGGCAGCATTCAGGTGCAGAAGAGCAATCACTTCCCAAATCCCTAAATATATGCATTTTGCTCTAGACTTCAAGGAGCCAAAGATGCAGAGGTTTTCTATGAACTGCCAATTATTCTTCGAGAATACTCTTTCAGAAGCATGTGAGATTACATACAGTCTCAGTATTGCTGCATTGATGAAAGCACAGGAACTGTCTGCCTATTTCTAGCATTACTCTTTTACCAGAGGTTTAAGAACAGGCCTCATAGCTAAGGGAAAACTTGTTTTCTGACTTTCAAGTGAAGCAATGATGATTTCTCCCAGTTAGACACTGATCCAATCCAGTTTCAAAGAATATGTTTGTTTAGATCCTAACACTTTAGATCCTATCACACCACTTTGCAGCATTCACCTAAGGTTTCCCTGCACCAGTATGTCTGGCTCTTCCCCATGCATTTTTTTAGCAAGTGACCAGACTATTAATGTGAACTGCCTACTCCTCACCTCCTGGTCTTCTTAGCTTATCCCCCCAAAATACCCTTTATGTTACTCAATGTCCAAAATATACTCCTGTCATCTCTTCTTCACTTAGAGGAACTTGACTTAATGCTTGTAATTGTACTTTACTGGCATCCAGAATAAAATACTTACCTAAACCATAGCCTTCAGGCTGAAAAACCTTCAGGTTTTGTACTCGTGTCTTACCAGTGACCCAGAAGAAGGGAATCACAACCTTCTCTGAAGTTTAGTTTTTACATTGTGAACTCTTACAAGGCACAAGATTGCAAATAATTCTGAACATAACAAATACATGACACTCCTTAAAATCAAGAGGCTTTCAAAGACTTCTGCATAAGATGAAAAGTAATCCTGTTTTACCTTTTGTTGGTGTTGAAGCCTCTCTTCTTCTAATGTGTGGGTTAGCTTAGCATTGTCATCCAAAGCCTTCAAAAGCTGTTGATCAGGAGCAGAATTTTGCAGAAGCAACTGACTTTGCCTTTTCATCTTGTTTTGTTCAATAAACATCTGCCAAAACAAAACCCACCCCCAACAAAAACGATAGTTAAGTGAAGTCTAATGCTATCCTGGGAAAGATGTCAATTAGAAAGAAAATGAAGAAATTAACTTCGTGTTAACATGGCAGGGACAGTGAGGAAGAAGATGAGAAGGAAGAAGAAAGGAAGTTTGAGAGTAAAATTTACAAGAGCTAAGCTCACACTGAAAGGAACCAGGTGTTTGCTGAGAACCACCTACTGCTACACCTCAATTACCCACATGTTGGCAGCATTCAGAATTTAAACGCATCTTTGAATTTTATTTCCTGGAAATGGGAACAATCTGATCCCTATCCTGAGAGCACTGGAGAGGTTAAAAGAACTCTAGGTGGAGGAAAAAAATGTCTATGAATTCACAGGCTATCTCCTCAAACACATCTGCAAGTCTTGGCATAAAGCCCACTTATTTGAGGGTTACCTGGATATGTGAATGATGGAGAGGCTTCGGGAAATGAATTTTAGTCCATGTTTGTGTAATCAGCACTTGCCCTGGGAAAAGGCATTTCAGCGCAATTTCAGCCTTTTAGTTCTGATCCTTGTGTTCTCTCCTCTTCCCCAGTTACATTTTTGATGTGGGGAATGGATACGCTGGGGAGGGGATTAAATAGTCTAGAGACTTGACACTGAGAAAAATATCACACGTTTCTCTAGGCTTCACTTAAGACGTGCAAGGGCTGTCAGCACATGCAGTTTCCATACGAGAGATATTCTCCTTCCAGACTGTTTAGGAACTAGGAAAAAAAAAAAAAAGATTGCTTCCTGTCAAAAAAAAATTCCTAGTGAATTTATTCTGCATCTTGACATCTCTTTCAGGTAGAGCGTTGCCCCCTTGGCAACAGGGCCTTCCACTCTTGACAAACTCAGCCATGCCTATTCTTACAGCAGAAATAGGAATTGGGTCGTGCTGAGGTTTCAGATGAGTGTGCACAGGTCAGCAAAGCATGCCACTTACGGCAGGAGAACAGAGAACAGCCTGAGAATGCAGACACTCCCTCCGACTGTAAAAACACTGTTGTATAGCACAGCAAAAGCCAGAAGATATTTTAAGAATAAAGTATTAGAAATACAAAAGTTCCATGAGATCTTTTCAGGTTCCCATACTATTTATTCACAAACCAAAATTACAGACACAACATATAGTTTCTTCCCATCTGGTGCTACTGCAATGCTGTGTAATTTATTTATTTTTTTAATACAATTGGATTTTAAAGAAATATCAGCTGATGCGGATTTGTGGCAAGCATTCCACCCAGTGCATTGTGTCTTCTTAGCAAGCAACTCTCTCTCTAACTGAACATACAGACTGAGAAGTTTGCTGACCGCATTGAACTTTCAACTCACAACGCAGCCTACTTGACCCTGCGTGCCAAGAAGAGTCAATTGATGCAGCCTTAATACTAATAAAACCTACAATGAACACTTCATTGGGCAAAGCTGTGCCATGGGGGTAGGACTAGAAGTATTCAATGAAGAGGAAACGAATACAGGCTCTAGTACCATACTTTGTTATAAAACAAAAACAAATTTATGACAATACACAGGCCACTGTGGCACGCTGCAACTGTGCACTGGACATCAGCTCCCTGTCCCAAAATTCTGCCAGCCAAATCAATTATGCTTGCGTTTACCTTACACTAGTAGGGCTGTGGCAAAAACAAATCAAAGAAGTTCAGAATCAAAGCTACCCACCCCAGCCCATAAAGGTTTGCCTTTTTGTGGCAACTCATCTATTTGTTTAACATTTTATCTTCTTAAAAGAAATAGCATATTTGAAACTTCATACTTTAGAAAGGCCTCTAAAACACTTCTCAAGAACTCAATACTGTCTCAAAGCCTCCTGTTTTCCTTTTAAGTCAGTCAAAAGTTATTTAACCCTGATAGAAACAACATCTCTCTAGAAGCCACCTTTAGCAAACACTACAGTTTACCTACTGTGAAGTTCCAAAGCAAAGTGAAAACTTGGGTTTCATTTTTTTTGAATCCGAAAAAAAGTTTGAGATGATAATTTCAGATTTTTATTCCCTGAGTTTCTGCCACTAAAACCAACAGAAAAGAGTTGTTCCAGCCTGAGGGAGCAGAAAGCTGTCAAAACAAGAAGAAATCAAGTAGAGCAACTTGATTTCTTCAACTTGAGCAGATACTTCACCAAATGTAGAAAATTCATATTCACTTTGTTTCATGCTCTTCTGCAACAAAATGAAAAAAAATCCTTTTGAAGACCTGGGTGAGAACCTTTTAATTCGGAAGTTTTCATATGAAGTCTTTCATTTTCAATTAGTTTATAAATTGCTTTCATCATATGGCAAATATGTTCTTGCTTTCAATATATGTGAAAGTGCCTTCATCAAAAAGAAATTTGTTGCTTACAACTTCATGCCTGCAATCAGACACGTAGGAATCAATTTCTCATGGGGAGTCCCATCCATTTCAGAAGTTACTTACACACATGTCCTTGAAGTACCAGCAGATTCTAAATGGAAGGAACCAAACTAGACGAGATGGTTGTGACAGAGAAAGCAGAAAGCAAGCTGGTGATGAACTGATTGCAAGTTTTTGAGAGGTCGCTCTGTGTGTGTTTGACACAGGACAAAAAAGTCCCTTAGAAATTAATTCTAATTCAAAATTTAAAAAAAAATCAATTCCTGCTTCAGCAGGGCAGAAATCTGGCTGCCTGCACAACCCTGAATATTAATTAAAGTGACTGCTGAAAGGGCAAAACAGCTACTAACAGGATTATTTGGACTAGGTGGAATTTAACCAATTGATGGATTAGTTCCGACTCTGCCACCTGCTAGACAATTATCTGCAGAGTATCCCAATCAATGCTAGAAATGTAAGTTGATGCTGAAGGAATCCACTAAAGGCAGAACACAAAGGGCAATAGTTTGTTTACATCTATGATTTTAAATTTAAAAATCTCCAAGCGTTGTGCAAACCAGCTACGTATCTTTCCCCCCTGAGTTTACAAACAGAAGCTCCGAAGTGCAGGAAATCTGGGACTTGGCCACTTTCCATCAGTGGAGTTCGCACAAGAATTGGGGAAGGGGAAAGAGAAGGGGGTGAAATCCTGAAAATAATAGACATTTTTCCCTTGACCTTAATGGGGCCACACCTCATTCTCAGACCCGTGCTCTAACCATTACAGAGCATTCGCTGCAGCTGTTTTTTGTTTACACCAGAGCTGAAAAAGGAATTCTTCCTCATTAAAAAAGTTAGAAAGCAACTCCGTTAGTGTCAAGTCCCTGGGAACTCCGACCCTCATTCAAATAACGTTCAGGGTATAACTGGATGCTTTCCAACTAACTCTTCTCACAGGAGCGAAATGAGGCCAAAGGAAATGCTTTAATATCCATATGTGGCTATAGTTCCATCTATACATCGTTTGGGTACTCACTATGTGGAATAATGTTTTTGTCTTAGCTACAGTTGAAGGGAGAAGAATGTCTCAATACATCAGCATTGTTATAATAAGGTAATCATTGGCTGCACAAAGTGAAATAAAAATCAGTGGCACACGCTATCCACTATGAATAGAATAACAAAAGATACGTAGCAAGGCAGAGTCAAACTTCAGAAGTCTCGAACAGAAGAGAAGAAGATTGGTCAACTGAGCAGCTGGCCCTGATTTCAATCCTTGGCAGCACTCCTCCATCCTCTCCACATCCTAGTGAGGAATCAGTAAGTCATCCTCACGCAGTGGTAACCCACTCATTTACACTTGTCATAGTTTACAGGAGCTAATGCCTTTTGCATTATGTGTAATCTGAAGCCTTACAGTCTTGTGTTCAGACCTGAGATAAGTCCCAAGAGAGGTAGGGTCAAGGTACTTGTATCTTCCCATAAGAACAGGCTTGTTTGAAAGATTTTATGTGATGAGGGGTACAGAGTGATCTTGTCTGATCATGGCTTGGCAGGGCACTAAGTGGCTCTAAATTCAGGAGCTACTCAGTTTAAACTATAACTCCAGGTGTGGATTTTAGTTCAACGGCTAACCAGGAAAAAAATAAATATATATACTCTAACTTTGTAACTGTTTAACTGTACCATATTATCAAGGACGCCTGGGCTTGTGAGCTTTGCTGCATATAAATATTACAACAGGAAACAATGGCTAGTGGTTTGGGGTTTTTTTTGAGAGAGAACTTGAGAAACAGATGTATCTTATTAAAATACATTAAGAAACACACCCACAGTTTGGACATTGAACTAGAAAAGCTGTCTCTACACTCAGGCTCAATGCTGTACATCAAGCAATGATATCAGCCTCGTATGAGTTACACATCCCTTGTGGTTTAGTGGGCTCACAGGTGTATGAAGTGCTACTCCAGGGAAAAAAGCTACAACAAATAAATAGGTAAAAAAGCAGCTACGACACAATCCAGAAAACTTACTTCAGCATACACTTAATTTTAAGTGCATGTGGCATTACTCTGATCTTGAAAATTTTCTATCTGGTGCTTATATTCTTCCCCACCTGGGAACTGCTTCTCTGGAAAGTAACCATCACATGATGTCAGACAGAAAGAGAAGATTACCCAAATGGTTAATATCAAGGGCATAGAGGGCACAGGACATGACTGTCCTAAAAAAAATGAAAAAAACAACACAAAGTACAGAAAACCAGAGTGATGCATTTCTGGCAATGTGCTGTGACTTTCACAGACTTCCTCCTTCAGAGGAGCCAAAGACCAACCCTAGCTGGATTTTCAAACTGCCACAGAAAACCGAGCAACGTGACCATCAGAAAGGACATATGCATAGTAACAGGCAGCCAACAGTAACTCCTCTCTCTCTAGATGATTCATAGTATTTTATGGTTAATAGTTTTTGTTAAGACCTGCATCAATTTTAGACTAATAAAGATACAATACAGTTGTTTTAGTTATTTGGCCAATTGCCAGACAACTTCTGAAGGGACTATTTCTAAAGAGCTACAAGATGTAGCATTAAGTTTTGTGGCTCAAAAGAAGA